GACTCCCCTCTCCCCCCTGATTGCCCCCTTTCTTTGTCCGTCTCGGTGGGGGGCGCACCCCAAAGAGCCACGGTGCTGACGTCTCCCCCCTCCCCCGGCTCCAGACCAGACCTGCGAAGACACCACCTGCCCCTTCTCCCGTCTCCTGACGCTATCGGCCCAGCTCGACCTCTGCTCCCAGGTGTTCGGCATCGGCCCCGAGCGCGTCGGGGAGGCGGTGACCTTCACCAACGAGTACTACGGGGCCGACCACCCCAAGGCCAGCAGGATCCTCTTTGTGAATGGTACGGATGGGGGGGCGGCAGCTGGGGAGGGGGCGGTCGGCGAGATCGGGCTCGCGGGCCGGGCCTGGCATCGCCTCCCCGTGCCCCGCCGGAGCTAAGCGCCCTTTCCTCTCGCCCCCGCCCAGGCGACATCGACCCCTGGCATGCCCTGAGCGTCCTGAAGAACCAGTCGCGCTCGGAGCTGGCCATCCTCATCAACGGGACCTCCCACTGCGCCAACATGAACCCCTCCAGGCCCTCCGACCCCCTGCCCCTCGTCTTGGCCCGGGAGGTAAGAGCCCAGCGGGGACGGAATCGGAACCAACCCAGACTCGAACCCCAGAACCTCTTGTTAAGTTCCAGTGACTCCCCCTGCCCCCAGGGCTGCTCTAACGCACACTCCACCCCGTGAAGGACCTGGGGGGCAGGGAATAGCCAGAGCCAGTGGGCTCCAGCCATGCCCCTGATCTGCCCCCTATGCCAGTGGGTGCAGAGCCGTTATGCCAGGTGGGGGGTGGAGCGGTCCCTGCGTTGGGGGTGGGGGGGTTCTCAGGGGGCTGGTCCCACACCTGAGTGTGAAATGCCCCCCGACGTGCAGGACCTGGGCTTTGAGCTGAGTGTCACCCGAAGCCCCTCGGCAGCATGAGGGGCCCGGTGGAGTGGGATCTCCGTATCCTGGCGGGGTCCCTCCAGCTCTCTCCCTGTGTCCCCTTCCCCACTTCCACAGCGGATCGACTACCACGTTGGCGACTGGTTGAGCTTGGCAAGGAAGGCGCCTTTGGCCCCCTGAGTCTCCGGGCGTGAAGCCGTTCGCCCGCCGACGCTGCGCGGACTTCGCCCGCGGAGGGACGCGGCGAGATCTTCCTTCCAGCAGAGATTTACGTTGATTGCCAGCTGGTCGGAGCAGGGGCCAGCTTTCTGCTCGGCATTCGTCCAGCAACCAGCACAACGGCACCGCGATGGGGCCTCACAGCTGCTGCCGCCACACACAACAAATCATGATCCGGGGACAAAGGGGGGGCTGAGAAATCTGCTGCGCTGGGGCCAGCCAAACCCCTGGGAATTTTCTGGGGACAGTTTCATCCCCCTGCTGCGTTGGTTTGGATCCTTTAATTCTTTTATCCAATGAAAGATGGTTTTTTTAGACGTTTCTGTGAAGCCGTCGGCTCCTTTGTGGCAGCGACCGAGGCGAACGAAGCAGGTTCAGCCTGTTGCTGGGTCTGATTGTGTAAATCGTATTGTCTGACAAGGCTCCAACCGCCAGGATCAGGACCAGGGTGTGCAGAGCCCCTAGGGATACCCCGCAGGGCAGGTTCTCGCTGCTTCAGTATGGACCAGGGGACCAGCGTGGGGCCTGCTCCTAAATCTCCTTTGCGCTCCCCGTATTCTGGACCCTGTGTCAGTTACAGCAGCCTTGGGGCTGCTCTAGCTTGAACTCCGCCCCCTGTGGGCCCTGGGGGGCAGAGAATAGCCACAGTGCAGTGCGCTCTGGCCACACTGCAGGTCCACCCTCTCTGCTGGGTCTGGGAGCAGGGTGTGTTCAGGACCGTCACCCCAACTCTACCGCAGCTGGGGGAGCCCCATGCGTCCCTTCCCACAATTCTCGATCTGTTTCTGTCCTGCTATGCTGCAAGAGGGGTGCAGGGGGCCCAGGCGTGACTGAGAATCACACCCAGTTTCTCATGGAGACATCCTCTCCCATTGCCACCCCCCAATGCCCCTCTCTGCACCTACCTCTCTGGACGCAACGGCAGAGCTGGGGACCGGGGGCTCTCCCCCGTAACAGGATGGCAGAACTCACTCCAGAATCAGGTCTCCCCCCCCCCAGGAGGAAGGGGCTGTGCCCTCCCCCATAGGGAGAGACAGCATGCGCCCCCCTACCAGAAAAAAAAATATCTCTCCTCTGCCCCCTTTACATGGGAGGACAATGCCCTGTGACCCCCATTGATTTCTCTTCGCTGCACGTGACTCGTGAGAAAGGCGACGGCAGAAATGCCGCGCAAGAAGTATCACGTTCAATGCTCTCTCGTCCACTCAGTTCCCGGGGCGGGACCAGGTGGGGCAGAACGCGGGCGCCAAACTCTCCAAACACATCGGCAAGGCCCAGTTCAGAGAAGTTGGGGCAAGAAGAAAAGAAAAGGACCAACACGTTTTATTTTAAAGTGGCGGGGGGTGGGAGGGAACAAAACCCCAAACCAAAGAACACGATGGGCTCCTTCTCCGTCTCATCCCATCCGTCCATTTCCCCGTCCAAAGTGCCCCGGATAGCTCATAACAGGCCCGGGATCTTCCATCCTACAGGTCCTGTCCATGCCCACTCCCTAGGCGGGCCCAGCACGGGTTATATAAAGGGCTTCCCTACCCAGAACCCTTTGTGGAGAAGGGAAGTCCCTCCCCTGCGTCTAGGCTATTGACGGTTCATCTAGCCAATCAGCTCTTTCACCCGCTTGGTTTATAAGGCCTTCCCCTCCATCCCACCGCTCAGTTTCAAGGGGCAGAGATGCCAGTGGGAGGAGGCGGCTGGTCCCAGCGGCTCCCCTTCGCCGAAGAACTCTTCCATCTCCAGCTGCAGGTCCCGCAGGTCCTGGAGCTCCTGGGCGCTGGAGTCCAGTTGCCGGAGAAGCGTCAGGTCGGTCTCCTGCAGGCTGAGCTGGGATGGGAGGAGAGGTAGGGAGTTATGGCTGGTGGCTTTCACGGGGCGGTGAGAGTTACCTATGAACCCTGGCTCAGGCCTGTCCTAACCGGGCTGCTGGCGTGGAAGGGAAAGGAAAGGGCTGTAACCACGAGAGGTTGCTCCCCTCCGCGACCGGGAATTGGGCCGCTCCTGTCGAGCCAATGGCTAGCGGTGAAACCCGCCGGCAAAGTGGGCGCCTCCATCCCCCTCTAGTGGCAGGTCCGCAGAGAAGATAACGGCCTTCTACTGCCGCCAGTTACCCCCTTAGGAATCCGCCGCCAGGGCCCGCCCGCCAGCACCGAACCCCTCCTGAAAAACCAGTCTGAACTCACCAGCTCCTTCCGCACCCACGAGAGCCTGGCCTGGAGGCTGGAGCCCAGAGCGCTGTCCCTTTGGCTGCTTGTCCCACGCGCGTCTAGCGCCTCCTGGCGCTCCCCTGCCGCCGGAGGGCCATGTGTGTGGGGGGTGCGGAGCGCTTTAGGCAGCGGGGGCAGCCCCTTGAAGAGAGACCCCTCTTCCTCCATCCAGCGGCATTCGGCCATCGGGGTGCCAGAGGCTGGCCTGGGGTGTCCGGGAAACAGGGAAACCTCTGTTAGAGTCTCCCTGAAACAGGGTCATGCTCCAAAGGGCCCTATCGCAGACGTGGACAATGGCTGTCACCCCTGGCTTTTTGCACAGGGGGTTGCTCCCCCTCCCAGATGTTCCCTCCCAAGTTTTTCTCCTTTAATCCCTCCTGACCACCCCCTCCGTCCGGCCGAGGAGAATTGAGGTGGGTGGCACGCGTCTTTCCTAGCACGTCTCACATGAGCAGAGCCCTTGGGATGCTGCAGGGAGGGGGACGAGACAGCGAAGGGCCCGAGTGGGGGGAGCGTGGCCGGGGCTAGAGGGGGAAGCCAGGAGTCTGTTGTGTTTGGTGGGGGATTGCAAAGGAGAAGGCTCTTGCGCCACTGATTGTGGGAAGGGAGGGAGGCATCCTGCCGGGCGAGGGAGGACAGGACGGAAGGACAAGCCGGCGATTGAGCACCGTTCTCCAGCACCGCCGGGGCAGTTGAAGGGACCCTCCTTACCGAGCGAGCGGGAGCGCTACCGAGCGGTTCTTAGGCTCCCCTGAGCTATCGGGAAAGCTGCAGCACCGATTCCCTTCCCCTCTGTCCCACGGAGCTGGGCCTCCGGTGCAGGGAGCGGCTCTGGGCACTGCCTGGCAAAGGGTAATAAACGCGCCCGGCTCCCAAGCAGGCAGCGGAGTGTGGGCTCAAAGTTCGCAGGTGAAGCAGTCCGTCCCCACGCCCTTTGGCACGCGGCCACCCGGCTTGCCCCTTCCAGTGACTCCCTCAATCACCCGAGCGGAAATTCCCAGGGGAACGGCCACACACCCTGGGCAGGAAACCCCATTGCCTGCTCCTGGGACCCCCAACCTGTATGAAGGGGGCACCGAGTCTGCGCGCGTGCTTATAAGAGAGCGTAGGTGGGGCTGCTTCGACCAGCTTTGCTGGGGCTCATGCAAGGGGCGGCTTGGACGCCCCCCAGCTCAGAGGAGCGAGACGCAGGCCCCTGCCCGCACACGGCACCGGCTGGGGAGCTGGAGTCCAGGGGAAACAGAGGCGCGGTGGCCCCACGCTGTGCTGCGTGTCGCCCACTGCGACCCACACGCCCTCCCCCCCGTGAGGTGGAGGGCCCAGCTGCGGGTTGGCGCCGGGGGGCTCCCCCTGTTTGAGAGCCGGGCAGCGGGGCCGTTACCCACCGGCCGGGTGCAGTTGGGCTGCGTGACAATGGCACAGAGCACTTCCCACAGGCAGGTGTGTGTGGGGGAAACTGAGGCACGGAGCGGGGAAGCGAGTGGCTCAGGGGCGCACAAGGAGTAAGAGCTGCAAATAGCGCTCAGGATCCCCCCCCCGGCAACCCCCCCCCCCCAGCCAGGGCAGGAACCCAGGAGTCCTGGCTCCCAGCCCCGCCCCCCCTGCAGCCACTGGACCCCCGAATCACTAAGGGGGCGGGGCCAGGAGGGTTGAAGGGGCGTGGCTAAAGGAAGGGGCGGGGCTAAGCAGAGGGGGAAGGGTCCGGCCGCTCGGCGGGCGGGGCCGGGAGTCACGTGGTCGATCCAAGATGGCGGCGCCCAGGGCGGTAGGTGGCTCGGGGAAGGGAACGTCCGCTCCCCCCCCCCCCCCCCCCCCCCCGCCCCCCCCCGCCCCCCTCACCCCCCGTCTTCCCCCCCCCCCCATAACACCTCCCCTGCTCCCCCGTCTCATAACCTCCCCCAGGGTCCCCAGTGCCTGGGTCCCTGCTTTCGGGTGTCCCCACTGCTGCTCCCTGGGGCCCCCGTAATCCCTCTGATCCACAGTGTCCCCCTACTGCGTGGGCCACCTGCCCTATAATGCCCCTGATCCACAGTGTCCCCCCCCCCATGATGCCCCATTGCTGCAGGTGGCACCTGCTCCCATAGCACCCCCCTGCTCACATATCACCTGGGCAGGCTCCTCGGTGCCCCGGTCAGAGCGTGCTGCAAACCCTGTGCCAGCCGTGGCCGGCTCGGCGTCCGGGACCCTCCTGCTCTCGCTGCCTCTGGCTCCGCCGGGGTCTGGACACTTCGGGGGGCTGGTTCTGCATTGCCTGGGGGGCTGTCGGTTTCTAGTCAGTGTCACTGCAAGAGCCATTGTTGCAGTGTTGTGTGGACTGGCCCGGGAGGGCCCCTGCAAACGCAAAGTTTGTTTAAAATTGCCTCCTTTGGAATTGCTTATAAAAGTGGCTTTTTAGGAACCCCCCCCCTCAATATTTTTGGGGCCAAATATCACCTTGACAGTTTCCCTTTGAAACAGCGGCTGTTTTCCAGCCCAGAGGGGGCTGCATTTCATTGGTGGGTGCGTCCACAGGTGGCTGAGAACCGTTCTGGCAGCCTTTGCTAGGAAGGGTAGGCTCAGGGAGAAGGGTTTGAGGAATTGGATTTGAAATTCAAAATCCCACAGGGGAAGAGGGAGCTGAGAGCGCCAGCCAGCAGATGTCACTAGATCTCTTTGGGACAAGCTCAGGAGCGACCGGAACGGGACCTGGCGCTTTTCATCGCTGGGTCAAAGAGTTGGATTCGGCCCTGGTTGGAAGTGACCTAAAGCTAGGGTGACCAGATGTCACGATTTTATAGGGAGAGTACCGATATTTGGGGCTTTTTCTTATATAGGCTCCTATTACCCCCCACCCCCGTCCCGATTTTTCACACTTGCTGTCTGGTCACCCACCTAAAGCTCCGATTTGGTGGTCTCCGGTTAAATTAGTTGTATGTGGAGACTGAATGCCTGGACGAGCTGTCTCTCCGTGCAGGGGTGGTAGCAAACAAACCTTGATGGTGCTGTGAAGGGCGCTTTAGCCTTGAGAGACCTCACCCTGTTCTTGTGACATTAACGTCCTCAGGTGAAGAAGTGGGTTCTTGGCTGAAATCTTTGCAGCCTGGTTAATTTTTGCAGTTACCTATAAAACCTTAACCCGGCAGGTGAAAATGGCAAAGAATAAAGGAAAGGCGTTCGGTATTTGAGAGCCACGCGGGAGTCTCAGGAGTCCTAACCTCAAGCATTTAAAAAATCACGAGGCAAGCCCCAAAGATCGGGAGATTGGCTTAAGGATCAGAGCATTTAAAATCATGAGTTTGGAGTTCCTCTGATTAACCTGCTGGGTGGTTTTGAGCCTCTAGTCTGGCGTATGCTGAGGCCAGAGTTTTTCCTCTGCAGCCATGAGGGCTAGAACTGTGAGTGGGGGGGCTCTGGTGGCCGATGATGGGGTGGGGGTGCAAGGCTGGTGACGGGGCGAAGATGCAGCGTGTGGGGCCGTCCACTCCCCCTGCTGGGCTGTCAGCGCAGCCCCCGCTGTGTGCCGGCTCTTGGCTAGCAGGGCCCCCCTGTCCCTTTTCCAGCCGGCACTGGCTGCGCGCTGCGGTGGCTGGTGAGTGTGGGCAGGCACCAGGCAGTAGCCGGTTACGTGTTCCCTCTGCTGCCCACCCATTGGCCCTTTACGTGCTCCCCCTCTCGCTGTCCTCTCCCTTCGCCCCCCTAGCCCTGCTGCTCCTCTGTATCCCCCCCAGCAGGCCATCCTGCTACCAGTGCCATGCGGAGAACCAGCCCCTGGTCGGAGCGCTCAGCTCGCCAGCAGCGTGGCTGGCAGGCACCTTCCTTCCCCCACCTCCTCTGGCTGGGCCGGCGCCCTGGGAAAGCCCAAGACCCTCCGGCCCGGGGCGCTGGCCAGGAAGAGCCGAACCCTGTGTGTGTCAAAGCCCCACACAGCGCTGGCACGGGGCAGCCTCTCCACGGGGCAGCTCAGCGCTGGAGTTGGGGGGGTGGGGGGGCAGCGATTTCCAGCCTGTTCCTATCCCAACCCCACAGGCTCCACAGCAGCTCCCCTGGGCAGGGGCTTAGTCCCCCTCTCGCCCTGGGTCCTGCCCCTGGGGAGTGTGGGGCTGCTCCGTCCCCTGGGCACCCTCCCCTGCTGAGCCACCTCTCTGCCCCCCCTGCAGTCGGGTTCCTGGGCCCTGGTGACAGTGCTCCTTAGGGTTGTAGCCGAGGGACAGGAGGCGGCTGGGTTATGTGGGTGGCGAGCAGCAGCCTGGGGGTGTCAGCTGCCTTTCCACACTGCGGGCAGGAAGGGACAAGCTGCTTCCAGGGGGGGGGGGGGGGCATCTCCCCCCCCCCCCCCCCCGCGCAGCTGGAAGCAGCTCCCGTCCCCCCCCTCCCTCCCGCATGGTGCTGAAAGGCTGCTGCTGGCCACACTCTGGTGTGAACCCTGGCAGAAATCTGGGGAGGGGGACGTGAGACCCTAAGTGCCCCCCCCCCATGTGTTGCCTCAGGAAGACGTGGTGCCAGGTACCAGGAGAGGCAGGTCCGTCCCGGGGGCCCAGCCAGAGGTGGAGAGCGTCGGGCAGGGAGGGTCCGGTCGGTTGGTGAGAGAGATGTACGGGAATGTGTGCGTGTGTGTCACCGTCACCTCTCCCTGTGTGTGTGTGTGTGTGGGGGGGAATTTGTGGAAAAATTGGAAAGAGTCCAGCGGAGGGCAACAAAAATGATTAGGGGTCTGGAGCACATGACTTATGAGGAGAGGCTGAGGGAACTGGGATTGTTTAGTCTGCAGAAGAGAAGAATGAGGGGGGATTTGATAGCAGCCTTCAACTACCTGAAGGGGGGGTTCCAAAGAGGATGGAGCTCAGCTGTTCTCCGTGGTGGCAGATGACAGAACCAGGAGCAATGGTCTCAAGTTGCAGTGGGGGAGGTCTAGGTTGGATATTAGGAAACACTATTTCACTAGGAGGGTGGTGAAGCACTGGAATGGGTTCCCTAGGGAGGTGGTGGAATCTCCTTCCTTAGAGGTTTTTAAGGCCCGGCTTGACAAAGCCCTGGCTGGGATGATTTAGTTGGGAATTGGTCCTGCTTTGAGCAGGGGGTTGGACTAGATACCTCCTGAGGTCCCTTCCGACCCTGATAGTCTATGATTCTCTGATTTTACCAGGTGTCCCGTGTTCAGCACAGGAAATCTGGTCCCCCCCCTTCAGCCCAATTTCCCAGCTGCCTGGGTTTACTGAAGCTCTTTGCTGGCCTTTTTCCCCCTCCTCCTCTTTTTGCTGATGACGTTGCAAAACCAGACCCATTAGACCCTCCATTTGTGGCTCCAGCCCAGGAGATACACGGGGGGGGGGGGGGCAGAGCCGCTCTGCTGCTGTGTGGTTGGGTGTTTCTCGGCAAGGGCCGGAACCAAGATCTCTTTGCGGTCAGCTCGGGCCAGCCGCTCTGATCCGTGGCTGCAGGAAGCATCTCCAGCAGGAGAGTTGACGGTGTTTTGCTGTAGCGAGCGCTGCTTTAATTGCGTCTCTCCTGTAGACAGATGCTTCCAGCTTTAAAACCCTGTCAATGGCGTTTCTGGTTCTGCAGCTAATGAATGAAGCTGTGAGGTGGATACGACTCCTTGTAGGGAAACTGAGACGCAGCCTGGGGAAGGGATGTGCTCAAGGTTTGGCAGCAATTGGTGATCCGGTTGGGGATAGGACCGAGGTTTCTTGAGCCCCAGACTCATTATTATCCTCATTATACGCAGAGGAAACTGAGGCACGGAAAGGGCAAAGTGCGAGAGCTGGGAAAGAAACCCAGGAGTCCTGAATCCTAGTCCCCCCTGCTTTAACCACTAGGCCCCACTCCCCTTCCAGAGCCGGGCTAGAACCCAGGAGTCCTGGCTCCCAGCCCCCCCTGCTCTAACCACTAGACCTCGCTCCCAACCCAGAGCAGGGGTTAGAACCCAGGAGTCCTGGCTCCCACTCCCCAGGTAAAGAACCTTGTAAATGAGAAGCAGGTATAAAGCCGCTCCCCCGGGCTGGAAATCCAGCTGTTTCGGCAGTGGCTGAGTTGTCTCCCGGTGTGACCCTGTGAGCCGCCGTCTGAGGTGTGAAATGCAGTGCCAGCCAGTGCCGTGCGATCACACAGGATGTAGCCAGCAGACAGTCACTGTCTCCTGTGCGGCCGCCACCGGTCAGCGTGCTTTGCGGCACGCGTGAGGCTCCGACCCCTGGGAGCAGAGAGGCCACATTTAACCTGGAACCAGCAGAGCCCTCTGGGCGGCGGGATGGGGAGGAATTGGGCTCTTCCGTTAGCAGAGGAGTCTCTTTGTATTCTGGTGTTTGCACTGACAGCCCCCAAGCCCCCGGCCTTAGAAATACGATTGACTACCTGGGAGTTCACGTGATTAACCATGTGTCTTGCAGCTCCAGCAATGCAGGGCCTTCGCCCGCCGTCCGTACGGCAGTGCCGCCTCCCCAGACCCTCCAAAGGGCGGCATCCTTCAATACCTCTGCAACCGGTTCTATGACATCGAATACCTCGTCGGCTGGAGCGCAACGCTTCGCTACAGAAACCTGCGAAGGAAGAACGCGTACGTACAGCCCCCGTCTCCGTGTTCCCAACCGAGAAGGGGCGGGGGGTGGGAGAGGGATGGCTAGAACTTGATCCAGCAACTGACTTCTTGGAAAAGAGAAACTTCTGAGCAGCTGATGATTGTAAATGGGACGGTTATGGAAGCCAAGAACTGCCGGGTACCTACGGGGGGACGTGCAGAGCCAACCGCTCATGGGAGATCTAGAGCGGAGCTAGGTGGGAATTTTCTGGTATTTTTTTGGGGTGAAAAATGCCGATTTTTTTTTTTTATTTATTAAACCGAAGCTGTTCGTGGGAAAGGGTCAGTTTTGATGAATTTCCCAGCAGGACAAAAATGCTGGAAAAACCTTTTGAATTGGCAAGTTTCATTTTTTTCGTTTGGAAGCAACTTTTTGGTCTAGAAATGTAACTTAATTGATACTAAAAGAAAAGTAAAAAGGTCAAAATTGAAGCAAAATGTCTCTGAAGTAAGAGAACGTTTCCACCGAGCCAAACCGCATGTTTCTGTTCGGTTTGTCTGCTCACGAAAGTGTTGGAGATTTTGCCCTTTTGTCTCGATTCTGTATGAGAAACGTTTTCCAGATCTCAAAAATTCTCCCAGGGCCTGAAAACCATCCCTGCCCGGCCCTATTGTAAAGAAGACTACGTAGCCCTTCTGTGGCACTTCTCGGGAGCGCTCCGAACTCAAAGGCGCAGCTGTTACGACTGGGTCATGGGCAGTCTGACCTAGTAGTTGGCGCCAGCGTCTGCAGTCACGAGTTGGGAAGCAGGGTCAGGAGATCAGAGGGGCAGGACAGGAAACAAACTGGAGGTCAGGAACTACAAGCCAGGCACCAGGAGCTGAGCTGGGTCGGGATGCCAGGCAACGGGAGGGTTGGAACGTGGCTGCATCTGTGAACCTTGTGGGCCCGGGTTCGAGACCCTGGTGCAGGGGACTTGCATCTGAGCTGCAGAGCCGTTTGCAACTGGCTTCGCCTGCACCCAAGGCTAGAAGCTGTTACCAGCGGATGGCGCGGTCAGTGGGTTTTCTGGGTCTCTGTCCGGTTCTAGCGGCTCACGAGTCATTAAGTCTCCAGGTTGCTCTGGTCCTGGCAGCGTGTGGGAGAGAAGCTGGCCTGGCTGTTGGGACTTCGTTCTCCAGTGGTTTTTAACTTTGGGATGGTTGTTTGAGTCCAAACCCTATTGTTTGTTGTTACTGTAGCACTGGGAGCCCCCGTCGTGGATCAGGGCCCCGCTGTGCCAGGCGCTGCACGAACGCAGAGCAAAAAAACCTATTCATGCTCCTCTTATCCATTTACACGCTCTGGACCCGCATGGGTTGAACGGGCTCCGTGTGCATATTTCTGGGCAAAATTTCTAGTCGATCGTAACCTCTTTGGAGCAGGGGCTGCATGTGTACAGCTCTGAGCACGCCAGGGGCCTGCTCCGGGTCAGAGGTTAAATAATAATAATAGTCCTTGAAAAGCACCATTTTCGTGTTGAAAAATGCTGTGATCCTTTCTTCCGTCCCCTCCCCCCCCTTCTGCCAGGTACTGTGGTTACATCAAGGACAACTACGGAGACAACGCTGCCGCCGCCTACTTCGTCCTGTCCCACAGAGGAAGAGTGAGGTATTGACGCTCTCAGCCAAGCCTCGGGGACGTGGGTCTGACCTGGGAATCCCCTTGGCAAAGTCCCGGTTCTTCAGTTCTCCTACTGCTGGTGTTTCTCCTTCCAGGTTTCAAGGCCAGGAAACCTGGTACTGTGTGGACCGGCGCGGGAATTTCAGCTACGATTTCATAGAGCTCCAAGGCGTGCCCGTGGTGGACATCGACCTCGCGGGCTCCGTGTTGAACTACAATGGGCTGGATAACCTAGGTGAGAAATCGATGGACTTCCGCAGAGGGCATTTGTCTGGGGGATCTTTGGCACAGCTGGGGGCGCTCTGAAGCGCAGAAATGCTTGGGCTCAGAGAGTGGCTTTTCTTGTGGAGGAGGCAGTGCGGGCTAGTGGATAGAGCCCTGGAATGGGACTCAGGAGACCTGGGTTCTGTTCCCAGCTCTGCTGCTGTGTGGTGCCTCCATTTCCCCATCTGTAAAATGGGAATCGTGATCCCGACCTCCTTTGTAAAGAGCTTTGAGATCAAAGGATGAAGCCAGGGGTGATAAGTTTTGCTGATTTCCCTTGTCCCAGAGCTCTTGAATGTCCCCAGGAGACCTCCGTGGAGTGAGCGCTTCTCAGGCCACATACAGTTAACCTGTGGAACTCACTGCTGCAGGATATCATTGGAAGAACTAGATTAGTACATTTTGAGAAAAAATTAAACATTTACTGTAACAGTAGCAGAAATGCTTCTCTCCTCTGAGCATCCCAGGGCGCTATCATTATTCATTTATACGACACTAGTGCCTAGGCACCTGCGCCAGGTCCCAGGTCCCCATGGTGCTAGGCACTGTACAAACACACAGACGATCTCTGCCCCATAGAGCATACGGTCTAATTTGTAGACCATACTGGGAGGAGTGGATTGCTAGTTGGAGGCAGAGACCGTCCGTCCCTTCTTGTCTTTAAGGCTGGTGCTGTAAGGTTCAGACAGCGGCCGTGTGTCAGGGAAGTGACAGGCCAGGTCAGTTTCGTACTAACTAATCCCAGGGTGCCGTGCTGACGCTGGGTGATTCGGGGACGTACCAATCTATTTATCTGCTGATGTGATTCCCAGCCTGGCGCTGGGGCCACAAGGGCTAATGCTGTCCTGGGCTGCATAAACCGGGGAATCTCCCGTCGGAGCAGAGAGGTTATTTTCCCCGTGTCTGGCCCTGGCGTGACCACTGCTGGGACCCAGCGTCCAGTTCTGGTGCCCTCCAGTCAGGAAGGAGGTTGATCAATGGGAGAGGGGTCCCCGAAGAGGCCAGGAGAATGATCGAAGGGTTAGAAAACCTGCCTTAGAGTGACAGACTCTCGGATCTCAGCCTATTGAGCTTAACAAAGAGAAGGTTCAGAGGTGTTGCCGTTAGCCCGTAAGTATCTATACGGGAAGCGGCAATTTCATAACGAGCTCTTCAATCTCGCTGAGGAAGGTGGGACACGGCCCGTGGTTGGACGTTGAAACCGGACAAATTCAGCCTGGAACTGAGGCGTGGATTTGTCACAGGGAGGGTAATTTACTAGAGCAGTTTCCCAAGTGGGGGTGTTGGATTCTCCAGCCCTGCTCATTTTGAAATCCAGGTGGTGTGTGTGTTTAAAGGCTCTGCCGTTTTCTGGCCCGTGGCACGCAGAAGGTCAGACCAGCTGATCCCATGCTCTCTTACAATCTATTCATCCGTTTCAGCATCCCAATTTTTGAGCTGTTGAAATCCACTTTGGCCTTTGCCTTCCTGCTTCCTGTGCTTTTTAATATTTTATACCGTGCCCTGGCTGGGAGCCCGTCAGAGGCAGTAATGTACCGGGCTCACAATGGAGACATCGCGTTCTTAATGGACAAGGGGAAGCCAAGGAAGGTGGAGGCTGAGGATCTGGGTACAATCTGGTGCTGAGGGTTTCTTAGGCTGAGAAATCGTCTTCCACGGGAAGTGGCTGTAACCTGCCTGCCGGAGTCGCTGGCCAAAACCCCAGAGAGCAAAGAAGGGTGAGATGGGGAGAAAAGCCCTTTTCTCTTCTCTGATTTCTGGGAGGTCACTGCTGTGTCTGGCTTAGCATTCTCCTGCTCTTACAACTTGGGTGCTGTTCATTGTAGTAGCTCCGCAAAGACCATTTCACGGGCCAGCGATCCCTGTCCGGACTCATTTGTCTAAGAACCCGATTCCCCCGGTGTTTGCCTTGTACCCGTCTTTTCCGCGAGTGGCCGGGGCCATGATCCCGCGGCTGGTGCGTGTTGGTCCCGGCGTCTGCCGTAGTGGATCCAAAGGCAGGCCTGGAGCCATGGTGTGCGGCTGGGTGGCCCATTGCCTGGTGCTTGGACTAGCTTTAGTAAATTGCAGGTGCTTTTGCCTTACGGGCAGTTCCCGGTGGCTGTGTTGGAGGGGTGTGTACCTCGCTGTGAGATCCTCCGTAACGCACGGCTGGAGGGAGGGCGTGTCCATTTCCTGGCAGTCGGAAGCAGCTGCTATCTCCGGCAATGATTTGATTAACCTAATCCATCCGTCTGCATTAGTCTGAAATAATCAGATGTGTCCAAAGACACAAAGCTGCCATCTGTGGAGACCAGGTCTCAGGTTACACAGAGATCCGTTGTCCGGTGTTTAGCTGTCACTTCGGGACTGATCTTGTTGAGGACTCATTATTGCCAGCTCAGGATTTTAGTACGAGTCTGGCAAGATTTGGTGGTGTCCTTAAAGCCCCAGCGCCTGGAGTCCTGTGATTACATGAGCCCCTCAGGGTGTGTCCACACTGCAAAGGAGAACCCGTGGTGCTGAATCTCAGAGCCTGGGTCAACTGACTTGGGCTCACGCTGAGGGGTTAAAAACAGCACAGCAAACCTGGAAAGCATGCTGCAGATCTGGGCTCCCGGCAGCGTGTCGGGTATTAAGCCAGACTGCCCTCCTCTTTAAGACAGAGAATATATTATTGCCCTTATATAAATCGATGGTACGCCCACATCTTGAATACTGCATACCGATGTGGTCGCCTCATCTCAAAAAAGATATACTGGCATTAGTTGCCGTTCTCTGAACCTTTTCTAAAATGATTGGAACGGGTCCCATATGAGGAGAGATTAAAGAGGCTAGGACTTTTCAGCTTGGAAAAGAGGAGACTAAGGGGGAGTATGATAGAGGTATATAAAATCATGAGTGATGTGGAGAAAGTGAATAAGGAAAAGTTATTTACTTATTCCCATAATACAAGAACTAGGGGCCACCAAACTAATGGGCAGCAGGTTTAAAACAAATAAAAGGAAGTTCTTCACACAGCGCACAGTCAACTTGTGGAACTCCTTGCCTGAGGAGGCTGTGAAGGCTAGGATTAGAACAGGGTTTACAAGAGAACTGGATAAATTCATGGAGGTTAAGTCCATTAATGGCTAGTAGCCAGGATGGGTGAGGAATGGTGTCCCTAGCCTCTGTTTGTCAGAGGATGGAGATGGATGGCAAGAGAGAGATCACTTGATGATTACCTGTTAGGTTCACTCCCTCTGGGGCACCTGGCATTGGCCACTGTCGGTAGACAGGATACTGGGCTAGATGGATCTTTGGTCTGACCCAGTACGGCTGTTCTTATGTTCTTGAGAGGTTTGCCCCCTTGCCCACCCGGGACTGGGACAAAACCGGATGTGGTTTTGGCCAGCATTGGCCGGGGGACTTGGCGTTAAAAACATCCAGAAGGCAGGGCAATGGTGGCTGTTACGGATGCAGGACAGAATGGCCGCGGGCCACAACTAGGACCTCTCCTGGCTGCAATGGTGCTAAGCCCCCTGGTAACCAGCCGTTTGTGTCAGTGGCTCTTGGTTTCCCCGTCCTGGTCTCCCGTCTGGCGTTAGAAGAGCTGGTTCCCCTTGTAAGGGACGCACAGCATGCTGGGCCGAAATCAGCCCTGCGGGGACTTGCCAAGACTTGAACTGGGGAGGAGTTTGACTCTTCATCGGTTTCTCTGCCGCTAGACACAGAGGAGGCCGCCCCTTTTCCTTCAGCTGATGCAGCCCCCTAATTTCCGGGGGTTGGTCTCTGATTAGTGGAGCCAGGTTTGGGTTGGTCTCTGTCTGCGGGGGGGTTGGATTTTCTCCGCCCCTTGGCTCGTTTCTGGTTCTCGCCCGCGGCCGCCGGGCCTGATTCTGTCGCCCCGCGCCTTGTGTAGTCGCAGCAGAACGGCGCAGGGGGCAGCATTTCACCCCGCTGTGTGCTGGGGAATTCGGTGCATCACTTGTACCGTCTCGGAGCGTCCCTCAGCTGAGCTCAGGAATAGGCCATTGGCTCGTCTCCCAGTCTCTACATCACCGGGGGTCGTGGCGGCTGCGCGGTTCTGCGTGTCTCACGGGACTCGGGTTTCATTTGATCAGTTTGATGGAGAAGGTCGATGGTTATTTTTAAGCATTTTTAATTTTTTTTAATGGATGTGAATATTTACTGTTGTGGGAAACTCTGGGGGGGTCAGTCAAAGGGGGGGATCAGACGATGGTTACTTAATGGCAGGAAATGCTGAGATTCAAGTTAAAGCTTTAGAACCGTTAAATCACACACTGGCAGCATCACGTGTCAAAACGGACGAAGTAACTCGCTGTAAATCAAACGCGCAAGCAGCGTTTTTCGCACTTTGCCGAGCTCTGCGTGTTGATCATCACATCTGGTGAAATTGACCTGTGCTGATCAAAACCAAGTTCTTCCAACGCTCGAGAGAACCCAGTGCCCCGGCTCACGCCCCCTAAAAACGAGGGTTTGGTATTTATTGCCCTGGAGCGTGTATTTCATCCGCCAGCTGAGGAGACGCAGCCTCTGACCGGAGTTGCGGGAGGAGAGAGAAGGAATCGGGGCATTCCTTGTGGATGTTGAATATCTGGCCACGTTGTAGTTTGCAGAGATTATTTTTCAGGTTGCTGGTAGCAGCCAAACGGATCTTTGAGGCCTGTGTTGCATCAAGTTACGATTCCCCACCTCCTCTACCACCCTTGGCCGGCATTTCTTCGCCTGGGCGCGTAGTGGGCTCAGAGATGCCAAGGCCAGAAGGGAGCATCTTGTCTGACCTCCTGCACGTTGCAGGCCACAGACCCTCACTCACTCTGGCTGAGGAAGGGAAAACCTGCCAGGGTCTCCGCCGAGCCGACGTGGTGGTGGTGGTGGTGGATTCCTTCCTGACCCCAAATCTGGCGATCAGTTAGACCTGGAGCATGTGGGTGAGACCCGCCAGCCAGACACCTGGGGAAGAATTAGCTCAGAGCCCTCCCTGTCTAGTGCCCCGTCTCCGGCCGTTGGAGCTATTCGCTGCTAGGCACTGGAGTGCACGTTCAGGCGACAGATAAAAGGGGCGGGTTTCCAGAGCGGCTGATTGCCTGCCTTTGCTGGGGCGTGGGCGCCGGGCGAGAGGTAGGTTGGGAAGCGCCACCTCCTGTGGGAGGAGGCAAAATTCAAGTTCCGGGGGTCACCTCGGAAGCTCTCGCTTCGGGCGGGTAACGAGATTGGGGCTGGAGGGGGGAGCTGGCCAGCTGCCACCTGGCTTGGGGTCCCCGGCTCCACCCTCCTTTCCCTTTCCGCACGTGCAGTGAAGCTGACGGCGCTGAAATCCCTGGACCTGAGCCGCTGCCCCAACGTTGACGACTGGACCCTAAGCCGGCTGCAGGTCTTCAAGGACAGCCTGGAGGAGCTCTCGCTGGCTGGGTGCCCCCAGGTCACGGAGCGGGGGCTGGCTTGTCTCCACCTACTCGAGTGAGTGGTCAGAGCGCGGGGCGGGGAATCGGGGCACCTGGGTTCGGAGGCTGCTTTAGGACGGAGGGGAGGGCTAGGGGTTAGAGCAGGGACGCCTGGGTTCTACCCTCAGCTCTAGGAAGGGAATGGGGTCTAGTGGTTAGAGCAGGGGAGAGTCAGAACTCCTGGGCACTATCCCTCACTTTCACTATCGCTCTGTGCCTCAGTTTCTCTCTCTGAGAGGGAGGGCGTTGTGGTGGAGCTGTGTGGCCCGGCTAATTAGCCATAAAGGGCTTTGAGCTGCTCGGGTGAGTGCTCTGGGGAAGAGCCCAGGAGCGTGATGGTTATTCCCGCCCCGCCCCTCGGAAAGCGCAGCTGCGCCAGCCAGGGGATCCGCCGAGTCGCACTCACGTGAAGTCCCCCGGCGGCACTCGGCCGTGGGCGTCTCCGGGAATGCTGGCACGCAGGCCTCCACTGGGGCCGATGAGTCACTGCGGATCACCTGGGTGTGGTGCGGGCAGATCCCGGCCCCTTTCTTCCTCCTCGGATGTGTGCTGCAAAGATGGGTGGCTGCTCCCCGGGTGCCCCTGGCTGGGGAGAACGGCGTGTTCTGCCCATGTGGGAGCTAACGCGAGGGCCAGGCAGCGTTAATGGGGCTCGGAGAAACCCGCTCGGTCTTCACCTGACGCGTGTGGAAACGACGCCTGCGCCGGCTCCCCGAGGACTGTACCAGTGCCCACCTCTTCCAGCCAAGACACGCAGGCACCCTGGGCGCTGGGTTCACTTCCACAGTGCCTCTCCTGACGGGAGCTGTGCTCCTGCAGACGCCGACCCTCCCCTTCGCCCCAAGACATCAAAGCACTTTCCAAGCTCCCCATCCGCCCGGCGGAGAAACTGAGGCCCAGACAGGGAGTAGCAAGTTGCTGGAGTCTGCGCTACCTGGGAATAGAACCCAGGCGTCCGGGCCACACTTCTCCCTGCTCCAACCACTAGACCCGACTCCTTCCCCTGAGGCCAAAGGACCAGGGCCAGGTTTTAAAGGTTCGCTGGTGCCTGTCTCCCTGTGGAGCTGATTCCCGTTGCATTTCCAGTGGGAGCAAGGAGCTGAAAGACTTTAAAAATCCAGCCCTGGACTCTCTCTTCCCCTGCGTTGAGCATCCGTTGAGGGGAGGACGTGGGCTTATGGGCCAGCGGGGCTTGGAGAGAGGATGGGGGCGTCGGGGGCTGGGTGGGAGAGCTCTGGTCTCGAGCTGAGTCAGTCTCTCGCACAGAGGTGCTGGGATTTTAGGAGCAGCGTTGCTCCGTTTCGTTCTTATCCCTTCTCCCCGTCACCCTCCCCAGGCACCTGCGGCGCCTCGACCTCTCACACCTGCCCTCAGTGTCCACCCCAGGGCTGATCCGGATCTTGGTGGAGGAGATGCTGCCCCGGTGCGAGGTGGTGGGGCTGGCCCCGGCTGCTGGCGCCCAGACGCGCAGGGACGGAAGGGAGGAGCCCGCCGTCCCCAGCGGGGACAGGAGAGCTGGGGAGATCCCTGCCTGATGCCTGGCTGCCCTGACGCTGATCGACGAGGGTGGGAAGAGATGGCCGCAAGCCGCGCTCCCCTCAGCACCCTCCGATCACGGACCGGGAAGGACCCCAGCGTGGCCGTAGACTTGTGGGTGTGGCTGGGCGGTCCGTGACCCCCGCTTTGGTCTCCCGTAGGACAGGGCTTGCAATCGGCAGAACCGCGCTGTGGTCATTAAAGGCCTCTCCTGGCGCTGCTCTCGCGTCCTTGTTTGCGGGGAGAGGCCCGAGTGGCAGGAGAACTTGGGGATGCCGGGATGGAAGTGGCCGGGAGGCTGGGGGCCTTTGTAGCTCAGCGGGCGAACCCCCCGGATGGGGTGGTTTGGTTTGGGTGGCGCCGGGGCCGGCCGGGAGCCTGGAACGGCTCGAAGCGACCTGGGAGAAGGGAAGATTTTTTGCTTTGGGCCGAGAAACTTCTCTGAGCACAACCGTGCACCATGTTCCCGACGCCGCCCCGGGCAGGAAACAGCAGGAAAGAAATGTAAAACAAACAGCTCCCCCGCCCCCCCCCCCCCCATCTTCATCCCGGGAAGAAGCCACAGCTGCCCCAACCCCCTTCCTGTTTCAGGTCACTTTGAGGGCGGGCGGGCGAGGTGGGAGGGCGGAGAGCTGGATGTGCGTTAATATTCCTAGTGGGAGCCTGTTGCGCCCACGTCTCCCCCTCGCCCGCCCGCAGGCCTGGCCCAACGCCGCCCCCGGCCTGCCTGGCATTCCTCCTCCAGCCGCCAGCGGGACTCGCGAGGGCCGGGGGGGGGTCCCAGGATGTGGGACAGGTCAGAGCTTTTATTGCACCCGCTTCCGCTGGGGGAGAGAGGCGCTTTGGAGCCTCCCGGCGCCCTGGACGGGCCCCCAAGAAGAGCTCCATGTTCGCTCCGAAGCACGTCCAACACCAGCTCTGACTTCCCCTCCCTGTCCCTCCAGCCAGGGCTCCGATCCCTGGTGCCCGTCGCCCGGCACGGTGCCACCGGCAGGATGGCGCCGGGGGAGAAGCGTCTCTCGCCTGCCCCTGCCAGGTGGCCGGGCCGCGCGCCAGCCGCAGCGGGTGACGAATGATCTGTCCGTGTGTCTCTGCCCCCGAGGGAGCCCATTAGCTGCTGGAAAGCTTCTGTTCCCTGTTAGCTTTTGTCTCGGGCGTCAGCTGCCCAAGGGAGCTGCCTGCTGGGTGCCTGGCGCCCGCGTGCCGAGCCTGGCCCAGGTGCCGAGCCTGGCGCAGGCTTGGGGGGTGGTGTTCTGAAAGTCCTTGAGCGTTTTTGCAGCTGGTGGTTGGGGGTTTGAGTGGAGGAGCCTGGAGCGCGCGTCAAGCAGCTCGCGCCCGGGGGAATGGGGCTGGCACGGTCCTGTCGCTCGATCTGTGACGGTGTCTGGGGGCACCCGACCCCAGAGCCTCCGAGCCTCACCAGTACGCCTCAACCACAGCCCCTGCGTGAGCACCCTGGGCCCAGCAAGGAGTGATTTGTTCATAGACCTAGAGTGAGTCTATTCTCAAGCGGGGGAGAGAACCCAGGAGTCCTGGCTCTCAGCCCCCTGCTCTAACCACTAGCCCCCACTCCCCTCCCAGAGCTGGGGATAGAACCCAGGAGTCCTGCCTCTCAGCCCCCCCGCTCTAACCACTAGCCCCCACTCCCCTCCCAGAGCCGGGGATGGAACCCAGGAGTCCTGGCTCCCAGCCCCCCCTGCTCTAACCACTAGCCCCCACTCCCTTCCCAGAGCTGGGGCTGGAACCCAGGAGTCCTGGCTCCCAGCCCCCCCTACCCAGCCAAGGCAGAACTAGACACCGCTGGCTCCTGCGGAGGGGAAGCGCTGACGAGCTGTTTATTTTTAGCAGCAGGTTCCTGGTTCAAGCCCCATTATCGCCTCCGGGCGCCTGTCTGGCCGGGACCCAGGCAGGGAGCGATCGCTGCCCCCCCCGGGTGCCTCAGCCCCCGGCCTCGTAACTCGCCCCCCGGCTCCCAACCCTCCCGACGCTGGGGCCCGGGGGGTTGCGGCTGGGGGAGGATGGAGCCCGGCCTGCCCCCGGCCAGCGCGTTCTCCTTTCCTTGGCAGGTGGTTTGGCGGTGGGGGGCCGGGCTGTGTTAGAAAGAAGGGGGGGGGGGTTTCCTGCGGGATGTCGGCTGCCTCCCTCCCCCCCCCTGGGGCGAAGGGGCCGCCAGGTTGTCCCCACCTGGCCTGTACGGCCAGTCGGACCTGCTGGGTCACCCCGCGGCCCCTGTGGCAGGACGCGTGTTTGGCCGAAGTCTCCCCCCCCCTCTGGAGTTGAAGCCCTCACGGGCTGGAGAACAGGCTGGGTCAGACCCAGGTCCAGCTGGCTCAGGGTCCTGTCTCTGACCGTGCCCGGCGCTGGCTGCTTCAGAGGGAATGACCAGAACCGGGCAGTTACCAGTGACCCGGCCCCTGACGTCCAGCCTGGGGCTTAGGGACACCAAGAGCACGGGGCTGCCTCCCTGACCCTCGTGGCTAAGAGCCGTTCATGGCCCTGCCCTCCAGGGACTGATCTCGTTCTTCTTTGAACCCAGTTCTACCTCGCATCATCCCCTGGCGAGGAGTTCCGCAGGTTGTCGGGTAAAGTCCGTCCCTCGGTTCGCTTTCAACCTGCCGCCTGTTCGTGGCCCGGGTGACCCCGGCGGGTGTGTTCGGGGAAGTCACACGTCCCTACTCCAGATTTCACAGCCCTTCCCCCTCAGGGCTTCGGCGCCGCTTCACACGCTTCGGCGGCACGGCTGCGGTGTGGACGCTCGCTGCCGCCACGGGAGGGTTCTCCCAGCCCCCGCGTTCATCCGTCTGCCCCCGCCCTGGCGCTGGCCACACGAGATCTCTCGGGGGGCGAGCGACGGGCCGGGCTGCTCCGTGGGCCCCAGCCTGGACCCATCGGTTTCTCCTGCTGTGGCCCCCTGGGATTTGCAAAGGGCAGGTTCTGGGCCGCCTGCCGTGGGGGTGTGTGTCATGGGAGGGGGGTATCAAAGGCTGGGGGGGGGGCTAAGCCTCCCCCACGCTGCCCCTCGCCCCTGAAGCCGTCGGGGGCTCGGCCGGTGGCCAGGGGCTGGGAGGGCTCTGGGGTGGGGGTTCAGGGTTCTGGCTGCGGGGGGGGGCAGAGCTCCCGGGCTGGGGGTGTCTCCCCGCGGTGGGAACCTCGCGCCGGCTGGTGGGGAGGGGGGGCGGTTGAGACACCAACTTCTGCACCACAAGTTGCGCAAGCCGGAAACCGTGTGTGTGTTGTAAATGCCGGGACTCCCCCCCCTTCTCGCAGCTGCTGCAGCGTGAGAATAAACATCGGCGTGTGCCTGGGCCCCGCCGTCAGGATCTGGCTCCCCAGGGTCCCCCTGGCCCTGCTCCGTGGGTGCCCATCGCACGTGGCCCCGGGGCGCCAGGCAGGGCCGGGGCAGGAGCCGCTTTGTAGCGGGGGGGCTCGGCGGCGGCCAATTGGTTCAGCTTGACCCTGGCCGGGCCCTGGGTGCCCCCCGCAGCCGCTGGAATCCGCCCGGGCTCTGTCATCCTCTGCTCGAGGCCTTGGCAAGGCCGCGCCTCGCTCCCTGCCTCAGTTTCCCCACAGGGCGCGGCTCCTCCTCCTCCTCCTGCGCCGCGCGCTGTGGCAAGGCCCCGGGCTGGGTTTTGACCCCCCAGAAGAGAGCGGGGCAGGGGGCAGGAACCCGGCGGGACCTTCGCCGTTGCTTTGACCCGGGAGCGCCCGGACGCCACGGGGACGGGCGCCGCGCCAGCCCCGGCCCGGAGGAGACTCCCGGCTCCCTGCGTGGCCAGACCCGCATCTCTCCCCGCCCCGCCCGGAGCCGCGTCAGCCCCATGAATATTTGATGGGGGACGAACAGCTCCGGGGAGCGTGGCTGGGAGCCGCCCCCTTCCCTGGGCGTGGGCAGGGGCCGGGCCGCCCGGGGAGCTCGGGGCTGGCCCTTCGCTGGGCCGCTCCCTGCCCACGGGCGGGTCCAGCTCCGGGGGACCCGGGTTCGCCTGGCTCGGCACAAACACCCCGGATCCTGGGGGCGCCTCCGAGCCGAGCCGAGCCGGTGGATTCGGGCACGAGCGAGTGTGGGGGGCCGGGGAGAGGCGCCGCATCGCCCGGAGGTGAGAGCGGGGCGGGGGCCCGGGGCTCGCAGCCCCCCGATCGCGGGGCGGGAAGAGGATGGACCGGGCGGGAGCTCGGGGGCCGCCGGCCTGGGGAGGAGCCGGGCGGGCGGCTCAGCCCGGGCCGCGGGGGGGAGAGGAGAGAAGCGATCGAGACACCCGGAGGGAAACTGAGGCCCGACCATGGCCCCTCTCCGTGGGCTCCCGGCAGAAATGACCCCCCCCCCCAGGCCTGGCGCTTGCATGGGGCCGGGCTGGTCCTGTCCCGGGCCGGGCCCTTGGGGGGGCTGCGGCCAACGGCTGGTGCTGCTTTGAGCTGGGGGGAGGAGCTACCCCCACACACACCCCAAAGCTTCCCTTTGAATCCCCCCCCCCCCACGCCCAGCTGAGCAGGCAGATTGGGTTAGCCCTGCTCCGGGGGGGGGGGCTGAGACCTGCTCCCCAGCACCCCCAGGGCTGCATCAGCGTCCCTACAGCCCCCCAGCTCTGCCGGTGCCCCTCAGCCCAGGGGTGGTATTTGGGGGGGGGCAGTTTCCTACAGGAGCTCTGATGGCCCGTGTCCTAGCCCCGGGCAGAGCTCTGACCTGCCCTGGGGGTGGCCTGTGCGGTCCTGGGGAGAGGGGCTGGTCTCAGCTTGTGCCCCTGGGCAGGGGATTAAATTCAGGCTCTGGAAGGCTGTAAAACAGGAATCAGGGGGTGGGGGACAGAAGAAATCCAGCCAAGTCCCCTGAGCCATGGTTCCATTCAGAAAAGGGGGGATTTGGGGGCGTCGGTGAAAAGAGGGGGCCGAACCCCTGGGCAGGGCGAGCAGCGTGGAGGGAGGTTCCCATTCTGCCTGTGGTAGTTACATGGCCCCGTCACCGCCGTGTCTGACGGATTTCCCCTCCCAGCCCCTCGGGGGGGTGGGGCAGGGCTGTTGTGCCCATTGTACAGATGGGGCACTGAGGCGCATGCAGAGTAAAGGGCAGATTCTCTAAGGTGAGATTTTCAAAAGCTCCCAGGTTAGCTGCTTGGTAGCCCCCACGAGATGCCCAAAACCCTTTCAGCCTCTGTCCCCAGGGCACCGGCCTGAGGTCAGAGAGGAAGTCCTGGCGGGGGAGTTAGCCAACAGAC